GGTACTAGTATTCCTCTTCAGACTACTAGTCTACTAGAAATAGAATATCTGCTCCTCACACCCCTGAGTGAAAATTTTACATTGCCAGAAAATAAAGCATTTCTTTGACACAAACTTTTGATTTTATCCATAAGATTAAAATAGATTAATTAAGAGGTGAACCAAAATAAATTATTTTCAATATAATTACACCATAATTTTCAGCATTAAGTATATGTGTCTCTAGAGATAAAATAATTTTGATTTGCAAAATTGGGTAATTAAGTAGGTAATTGTTTCTAAGGGCCTGGGAAATAGGTAATAGCAATTTGAAAACTTACCCGCATAAATAATCAGTTTGGTTACTCTGCTGAAGGTAAAAAAACAAATGAGCCTGAAAAAATAAAATGACCTTTTAGAAAAACCTCAAAATAATAAATCTCAAATATTATTGGCTGTGGTATACATTGTGGATGCTTCCCTAATTTTCTTTACAGTCTCCCAACCCCTGTAGCCCTGTTTTCTGGATGGTACTGACCCACCCCCAGCTAGAGGGATGGGCCCTGATTGGTCCAAACCAATCAGGATAACTTTACTCTCCTTGTCTCAGCTTGTCTCCACGACCCAAGTTGGTTAGTGTAACATTTTACCTTTTAGATGGCAATCTTGTTTCCACTTTCTTAGGATAGTTTCATCATAATACCTGTTAAAGAACAAAATTCAACCCGGTAAGTGTGAAGATCTAATTGGCTTTATTAAGTGATGCATGAATCAGGCAGCNTGCCAGGTTGTGGTAAGTCCTATGAAAATAATGCAGGACAAGAAGACTAAAGAATGACAGGGCGGATGAGGTATGAATGTGGGGACATGTGCTATTTTAGAGAGAGTGGTCCGGGAATATATCCAAGACGATATTTGAGGAGACCTGAAGAAAGGGAGGCAGGCAGGCAGCCAGGAGGTGGTGTGTGGGGAGTTGCAGTAAAAGGTAGTGATGTTGGTCCTGGCTTGCACGTCTTCCAGTTGTGCACATCTCTACCCAAATGTGTGTTCACTGAAGTCAAATTGATAGGTTGAAATCAGCTTTGATTGAGAGCATTTATACGCAGAAATCTGCAAATCCTGTGGATTTTTTTCCCTTGAGAGCCATTTGTTAAATACTTACCAGCACACCACTGGGAAGACACAACAGGAAGTGCAAAGGCCCTGAGGTAGGAGCATCTTGGTGTGTTTGAGGAACATCGAGGCAGCCAGAGTGGCTAGACAGAGCAAGAGGGAAGTTGATAGGGGATGAGGTCAGAGGTAGCCAGGAGCAAGATCGATGGGACTTTGTAGGTCACGGTAAGTACACTGGTCTTTATTCTAAGCAAAATGGGGGCCATTGGAAGGTTTGGGGCAAAGAAATGATACCATCTGACTTAAGCTTTGAACAGAACCACGCAGGGACGAATCAGGAAGACTGATGGAGACTTCAGCAATAGATAAGAGATGATGATGGGTTGGTAATTGTGGAGGTAGGAAGAAGAATACCTTAATTCATTTTTTTCAGATATTGTGAAGATTAAATAAGACAGCATTTAAAAAGTACTTAGCAGATTGCCTAGCCCAGAGGAGGCCATCAGTAAATGTTACTATTGGGGAGGGGTGCTCATGTCTAGTTAAAAGGCAAGTAATTTCAGCACCAAGTGGTAAGTACTATGTTCCAGACAAGTGGGAGCATGGAGGAAAGACACTCGAAGCAAGTTGGGGGTGGGAAAGGCCAGGAAGGGTGTTTGAGCAAAAGGGGACTGTTCTAGCAAAGGCAGGGGAAATGGAATTAGAAGGAACGCAGAGCATATGGTGTCTATGCTGACTCAACGTGGTGACAAGTAGACCACAGCTTTACCCTTGAGCAAAACAATCAGTGATCTGAAGGAACAGTGATCATTTAATTACTCAGTGTGTTAATTAAATCACCCAGTAGNTATATCTTCTAGGACTCTGACAGTTATAAATCAGAAAATTAGGTGTTATGGTCTTTGAAGCAAAAATTTCATTCTGAATGAATCTACCATCAATTCTCATAATACTTTAGTTGTGCATCAAATATAGTACAAAAAAACCCCAATGATTTGCAGAGTAGTTTATATTCTTGTGCCTGTATCCACTACTATGGTAGGAAGACAAGAAGAAAGGTTGAGTCTTGCTTTCATTTGTCTTTTCCTCAGTGCCTAGCATAGTGCCTTTCACTTGGTTGGAATGTTCAATAAATGTGCATTAAACTACTTTCTGTCTTTATGTCAATAAAGTAATTCATCTTAAACATGAGTAGTTCACAATCTTGAAGAAAAAAGGGTAAATATGATTGGTAGACTGTTCACAAATGTTATATGTTGGAATCTTTGTGGTTGACTCCCCACCATCTGTTCATGGAAAACCCTTGGCAATGATTGGTTTGGGTGTGGGCACATGGGACACAAACCTTCCCAATGAGGCATGAGCAAAGTCTTAGTAGGAGACTTTTGGAAGGCAAAGTATTTCTCATTCTTGAAAAGGAGGCACATGAAGACATGTGTCCTTTCTTCCAAAAGGACGTCTTATGACTGGATATGGTTCCCAAATCCATGTCTAATGGCCATAAGTAGAGCCAGCTATTGAGGGTACAGTCAGCGCTCCAAGGACAGCAGAGAGATGCAAGAACATCATTGAGTCACTGCATCAAATAACTGTAGACTGAACTGTTGAACTTGTTTTGTGACACAATAAATTTCCTTATTAAAAAAAGACACCACCTTATGAGATAGTCTGCTTATACCCACTTCACGATGAAAAACTGGCATGGAGATACAAAGCAATTTCCTATGGCCTCACAATAGCTAAGTGGTGGAGCCAAGTTTGAGTTTCGTCAGCCATGCCTACCCACTGTGGGTCACAGTGCTGTGAGCACAGGCTCCGACGCTGTCGGATCAGATCCCAGCCCAGCCACTCATNTAAATATCCTTATATGAGCTCAGTTACCATATAGCCTTCTTTGATATGCTGAATGTTTTGGAAAGTCTCATGTACTATAACAAACCAGTATGTCATTCACAGTTGATTATATGGTGACTGTAGACATTTCCATAAAAAGTTGAGTAGGCTTTGGGGTATAATCCCCTATGAAGGCAGCACTCTTTCTTTGAGAAAGTCAGATTTTGGAGATGCTGCCTTCCCTAGGAATGTAAATGTGAAACCTCGTTCCATTACTCTCATTTATTTACCTTATTCCAGAGACATTTCAAATGTCAATGGTACTAAAAACTAAAATTCAGTCAGCTAAATTCCCATAATGTCAGCCATTAATTTAAGTTAAGAAGCAAAAATATATTACAATCTACACTGGTTAGCACTCTTCTAATTATTTAAGTCAGTTATTCTTATGGTAGAGAAGTACATGCTCATTGAGTCTATGCTCTGTATAGAGCACAATGTCAGAAGAAAAAAAAAACTTATTAGTCAAAACTTGTTAAATTGTGCCTGAAGAACATACCCATTTTGGAATTTAGAAATGACCATAATGGGCCCAAAGGATTCCTCTTTGGCAAGGTACATGTGGTCTTCCACATCGGTGAAGACAGTCGGTTCCATAAAAAAGCCTATTTGAAAAACAGAAGACAAGAACATCAATTATAGGGTAATTTTCAATCACCAGTTCTCTCATATAATTACATTATAATTTTCTTCTTCCATCTAGGTTAGTAAAACCAAAAAAACTTTCATTTTCTTATTTGGCATTAGCATGCCTAGGTTCTTATTTATAACATACATAAAAGTAGAGAAAATAGTATAGGGGCCGGCCAAGTGGCTCAGTTGGTTAAAAGCTTGCTCAAGAGTGTGAACTCTGAGCAACAGGGCAGGGTCACCNTGGAACACGGTTACCTCACTTTATATTAGTAATTTCCCTAAGAAAATCTCTCCCACTGTGTTTTGGATGCAGAGAAGAAAGTCAGAATGAAAACATGAAAAAAAAAAAAAGACTTTACTTTGAACTCAATGGAATTTAAAAGGAGAGCTACTTTGCTGCAAATACATTGCCAGAAGTCATCAAGAAAGAGAAAATGTAAAAATACCCCAAATTAACCACACTTATGTTAACAGACTAGTTCAGTAAATCACAAATATTTCAGTTTTTGAAACAACATGCCAGACTGACTGTGGGGAGTGAGAACACGGGCTCCACAATCAGGTTGCCTGGCTTTGGAGTCTCTTTGCCAGTGGCTGGCTATGTGACCTTGAGGAAGTTACCCAACCTCTCTCAGACCCTATTTTTTTCAGCTATACAATGAGGATAGTAAATAGTGTTTATTTCCCAGGGCTATTGTGAGGATTGCCTGTGCTCATACAGGTCAATTAGTTAGAATAGGGCCTGGTTTAGTGTTCAAAGTAAGCTACTACTTGAAATGTGACGGTGTCACTGCTCGTGATGAATTACATCTTGAGCTTCCTACCAACTCGAAATCTGGGTTCCCAGATTCCCAGACAATCCTGCCGGTTGCAGCGTTGACTCTGGAAGATCACCAAGCAGCTCAGAAACAAAACGTATTCTTGGAGCTGGCTGGTTACGGGCCCTCTACCCGTTTTCCTTTCTTGGTTCCATTTAGTCCCATGAATGCTAAAGCAAGTTCGTGCTGAATGTCAGGTAAAACACCAAACCCCTTTTTAACTAAACGGTATTGTCAGAAGTTTCTTTTTCCTTTCAACATTAATCTTCTTTTTAAAAAGAAACCCTTTTCCACACAATTTCTGTATGTTCAAAAAAATGTGCAACATTTTTTAAAAATTGCATTACCCTTGGAAACCCAGGTCCAACTTGCCATGTAGGAAATGCCCTTCAGAACAGTACACAAGTGTTGCACGAAACACAGAGCAGACGTTTCTGTGATGTGGGAACAAAGGGAACGTGCAGGAGAAAAGTAAAGCGTACCTAAATCTTTTCCAAAGCCAGATTGTTTAACTCCACCAAAAGGGGCTGCCACGTCTGTCTTGTTGTACGTGTTAATGAAAACAGTTCCCGCGTCTAGCTTTTCACTCACGTACATCGCTTTATTTATGTCTCTGGTAAAAACCCCTGNGGTCTCGTACCTAGTGTGTTGCCTGCCTCATGCTGATGGTTGTTAATATTTGTTGAATGAATGTTGTTGAGCGTGTTCAGGATACGTGGAATTGGGTCACGGGGAACTTGTGGTAAATGTAGATCACTCTGGCGGACTCGGGTACCTGAAAGAATAAAAATGCCATATGTATTATAGACGTTCCTTGTCCTTTGCACTTCAATATTGTGCTAAATATTGGTTGTTTTCAATGTTGTTTTATTACAACTTTTTAGGGAACCGCCTTGAAATACATTTCCCACTTGGTGTTTTTTGCAGGATGTAGCCTTGTTTGAGATGAATCCGTCTGATTCAAAAGAAGAGGACAGTTCAGAAGAGGATTCAGAGGACAGTTCAGAATCTGAGGATGACGATGAGAACACCTCTTCTGAAGTCACCGTAGATAACATTAAGCTGCCACATTCGGAAGATGGAAAAGGCAAGATAGAAGTTTTGGACAGTCCTGCCAGTAAAAAAAAGAAATAGTGAAATAAGTCATCTAAGAAACAGGTGACATATGCCTGCTAATTCTGGGGAAAAGGATGTGGTTCGCTGGTTATTTTGCATTTCAGGTATCTTTGGTGCTTTTGTGTCATATTGGATGTATTTTGTTCCTCAGAGAAACAGAAGCTGGCTTTTACAGAGTTGGCATGGGTGACATTTGGGGATCTTCTAAGAGCAGGCTGTCTTTGATCTCATGCTAAAGAGATTTCGTTCAGAAAGCTTACCGTTGTGTATGGGATGCGTGAATTCGTTGGCATCTCTTTCTTCAGCAGAGACTTCAGACACATCAAACTTATTTTAAAGTAAAAATACAAATCACTAGTTTGTTTTTGTTTTAAAATACTCTCTTGGATAAAACAACGTAAGTGTTTTTTTAAGTCATTGCAATATCAAATTTGTTAGCATCAAAATGAATTTAATGAGGGAGAAATTTTTTATGACTATTTTTTTTTTACAATAAAAAGAATTACTTTGATTTAGCTGCCCTCAAGTACATCTGCTTTCTTTCAAAAA